TATATATATATATATATATATTTTAATCAAGCCAAATAGATAATAACCACACTTATTATTATGACTATTATTATTTTCAAACAATATATAGGCAAACACACACAAACAAAATGGTTGAGTGATAGCAGCTGAATAGAATAGCATAGGTTTTATAGTTTTAACAAATCAATAACATGTTCTTTATCTTCCCTCTTCTCTCTCTCTCTCTCTCTATCTCTATCTCTTGCTCCTTCATCTTCCCTCTTCATCATCCCTTTTCCCCCATTTCCAATTTTTTTATTTTTTATTTTTTGGGGTTGTTTTGAAAGAAGTAGTTCGAAACCGTTACATAACGGTGCGTAATAGACCGTTACAGCCGTCATAGCACCGTTATAGCCGCTATGGTAGCCGCTACGGCTGACATACTTATGAATCTCAATCACACTGTAAATGCGGCCGTAACGGGTGGCGGTAACTACTACAACCGTTACGTTTTAAAACCTTGAGTATGAGTGAATAAAAATACCTTTAGATTTTTATATATGAATCCCTTAGTGTTCTGTAGGTGGTCAAGAAGTCGGCCAGGGGTTGCTACTAACAGATTTACTCCTTTCACAATACGCTCTGCTTTTTCCCTGCGAGCTGCACCACCAATAACCAAGCCAAGAGTCTGTGAATGATGATTAAGAAGGTCCTTTGCCATTGCATGTGTCTGCATCATTTCATTGGAAGATTAGTCCAGGTTGTTACTTAGAAAAAATGACAAACCATTATAACTGAAAGCAACTAATTTGGAAGATGGATATATATAGAAAGTAACAAGACCCCCAAAACAGAAGAAGTGTTATTAGAAAAGATGAAGTGGATTATCTTTCTTTTCTTAACGATTCAAACCAAATGAAATTAAAATCAGTGGAAGGTAAAACGCGATTTCCAAAAGTAGTAGAAAATGATGAAAAATAATTGTTGAGAAGAGCTTAGAAGATGATCTAACACAGACAATAAGAAGTAACTACCAAAAAATAATATTCTAAATGCGCTCTAAGATTGAGAAAGAGTAGAAATGATGAAGGAAAAATACTTTTATAATCAATATTAACCTTCTAGATTTATTATCTTTGCAGAAAGAAGGATAAAATAGGGATGGCTTTATTCTATAATGATTTTGTCTTTTCAATTTGCTAGTTTAAAAAGTACAAATATCACAAAAGGAGTTGTAATTGAGAGGATTATAGTGTAGGATTAATAATTGGAATCACACCACAGGCTATCTTGGGAAAAAGATTGATATTGATAAGTGAAAAAAATAAAAATAAAATAAAAACCATAATATTTACCTGTATGGCAAGTTCCCTAGTTGGGCAGTTGACAATTACCCCCGTTCAGATTTGATGTAACAACTCCATAGCAGATATCAGAAAAGCAAGGGTCTTTCCAGAACATGTCCTTGCAGCTCCAAGAACATTTTTGCCTTCCAAAAGTGGCGGAATAGATCCAAAATTCTGGGCAGCAACACTAGGCTCCCAAACACAACCAACCTGAAACAAACCTGCCCAACGCATCTTATAACTCAATATACAAAGTAAAGAGGATGCAAACTAGGAAATAAACAACTACCAACATTCACGGACACAAGTCCGGATCACTGTACAACGAGGGTAAACCCGGGATCGCTATATTAACAACAATGATCAAACTTAAAGATTCATTTACATACAAGAAGTGTGTAATAACATCACGGAGTGCTAGAAAATTCAGTGAACTAGGTATTTTTTGTTTTCTGTCAATGACAATAGGTGAATAATGGTATGCCACTTTTATAATACATGAGAACTGGGAATCCATTAATAGGTTGAGACTTAGAAAAAAGCATTTCAAATCTTTTCCTATCACCTCCAGGCATATAATTTGGGCACAGATATTTTCTAGATTTAATTATTAATTCTCTAGTTACTACTAGATTGGGGAAAAAGGAAAACAAACATTCATATATTTGTTTTTTCCTTTGAAAACTGTAAGAATGTGAATATCTAGTTAGTAAACCATGTTAGTAGTATCTCAGGATCTTCTTTTAGTCTCAAAATACAATGAATATGAGCTATGAGTCCTCTACAACCAACAGAGTATAGCATAAGGGCATTCAACAAGGAATGTCCCAGGACAGCAAATAGGGATCAAAACCAATCACAATGCTTCATTCAGTAACCAAATTTAGTTGCCACTTGACCTTAAGATATGTGACAAACAACCAAATCCAGCGTTCCTACCTTGCACAAGAAAGCCAACACATTACATGGATTTAATAGATGGGAATCAACAGTATACTAACAATGGCAGTAGTTATTATTATTATGATTATACAAGAAAATCTTGAAAATTAAGAGAAGTTAAGTCAAGTTTAGTGTTGCAGAAATTGTTGACACGGAGATTTCTTTTACTGTTGACCGAATTGCTGTTTCTTTTACTCCAAAAATTGTTCACACGGAGATTTCTACCAATCAAGCCACTCTTTTTTTTTTTTTTTTTTTGAACTAGGAAATGCCCTCAAGCTACAAAGGAATGGGCAATTCGGTTGACAATCAAGCCACCTTGAACTAGAAAATAGGCTAAAAAGCACTAGCCCACAAAAACAGGGTTCCAAACACCATAAAAATGAGGTTAAATAGATGGGAACCCATATCATTGACAGAAATTTATGAAAGGTAACCATTTGTCAAAAAGTCTTGCATAGCATGATATGACATATTGTAACATTTTATAGAGAAACCACATTTAATTGATATAGATACCTCCGTTCGTGCATTGAACAGGTAAATAATTACTATAAAACCGCAGGTGAAAGACATGTTGAATTTATTCTTGGCTGAAAATAGATTACCTGGGACAAAATTCGCTGCTTGTTCCTAATTTGAGTCCTTGCCTTGTTCATGACTGAGTTAGGTGACTTGTAGAACCTCTGTATGAATGAATAAATAGGATTAGAAGGAAACTAATAAAACATAATAAAGAAAAAAATAGATGTGTGGTCTCTGGGTTTTCAAGAAACACAGAAAGCAAATAACAATGGGCTCAGGTTTGTGTAATCTGGCATATTTATTTATTTTTAAATATATTTCTTGGGGTTTTCATATTTCAATTGTATAAGCAAATGGGGTTTTCTTCAATCCACGTCAATCAAATTAATTACAAGAGGCAAAAATTAGAGGTTTAGCAAATTCAAGGTGAAGAAACTATTGAGAGGATGAACAACGAAGGGGCAAAGATCTGAGAAGTTGGACAGAAAGAGTTCTTTTTTTTTTTTTGGTGGTGATTTTGATATATTTGTTTTTTTTAAAATATGTTTTGGTGTTTGGTGTTCGAAATTTTCGTTTTGGAGCTTTTTTATTTATTTATTTTAAGTCATACCTTTCATAACAGTAATTGCATGTCGTGGAAAGTGTAATATTTTAAACAGCTAGCTTTTTGTGCGTCGTAGAAAGTGCAATTTTTGAACGGCTGGCTTTTTGTGTGCCGTAAAACGTTTAATATTTTTAACAGTTAATGTACGCGTGTAGTGTATAATTGATGTATTGATGGCATGCAATATGCACGTCATAGAAAATTTGATTATTTACAGCTAACATTGCAAGCCATAAAAAAATTATCGTTATTAGCATTCACAACCTACGCAATAGACACATCGTGGTTGGGAAATTATTTACGACATGCAAAAAAAACAAGTCATAAAAGTGAGAAACTACATCTTGCATTTACTGTATGTCATTGATGTGAAGCCGCAAAAACCCAGTTTTGTTGTAGTGCATAGCAAAAGACTTGCTCAACTCTAACTTTAACTTGTTGATCAGGGTGGAATCTTGACCCACAATTAACATGTCATCAACATAAAGTAAAAGAATAATAAATTTGTCATCCGGAAATTTCTTCACAAACATACAATGGTCCGAAGTGGTTTTAGAAAAATCATTATTTATCATAAAAGAATCAAATTTTTTGTACCATTGTCGTGGCTCTACCATACAAACTTTTTTTCAATTTGCAATTAAATTTTTCTTTCCTTTTTTCCACAAAACCCTCCGGTTGCTTCATGTAAATTTCTTCTTCAAGATAACCATGAAGAAAGTTTTCACATCAAGTTGCTCAATTTCAAGGTTCATACTTGCGGCCATGCCAAGTATAACCTGAGTAGAAGACATCTTCACAACCAACGGGAAAATTTCATCAAAGTCAACACCTTTCTTTTACCCAAAGCCTTTCACAACAAGGCGACACTTATACCTTATATTCTTTCCATCATTCTTCAATTTGAAGACCCACTTATTTTTTAGAATTTTCCTCCCCTAAGGCAACTTCATCAAATCATAAGTGTGATTTCAAGTAAAGAATTTATTTCTTCTTCCGTGGCCTTTTTCCAATCACCTTTCTTTGCATGCTCAATTGCTTTGTAGTAACTCTTGAGCTCCCATTGATTGGATATCAACACAAATTCATTGGGAGGATACTTTTTTGAAGGTTGCCGGTCCGTTATAGATTTTCTCAACTCAAGTTGTGGTGGTGGTTCTTGAGTTGGATTCTTTTCCTCAATTTCGAGTTCAACTTCATTTGGGGTAGCATCATAATCTATATCTTCAAGAGCTGGCTACACATCTCTCCCATTTTCATCATCCACTGAAGAAGAAGGGGATGGATCCTTGTCAATAAGATCATTAGTTTTTGGCTCCGATTGATCACCTTTGCCAAAATCTTCAATTGTTTGGCCTTCAAAAAGCACAACATCATGACTTCGAATAACTTTCTTGTCAATCGGATTCTACAATCTATAACCAAATTCATCATGCACATAGACAAGAAAAATGCATTGTTTTGACTTACTATCAAGCCTTGACCACTCATCCTTTGGAATGTAAACAAAAGCTCGACAACCAAACACTCTCAATATGACACCCCAAAATATTTAAAATGTAATTTGTTTTAATTTAGGGATTTGTGGCAAAATGTAAATTAATTGACCATCTCATCTTCCCTCAATCAACAATCTATATTTATATATATATTATTTAATTATATTAATATAATAGAAAGTCAAACAGAAAGAGAAAGATGGTGACAAAAGAAGAAAAAGAAAGGAATGAAAAAAAAAGAAAAAAAAAAGAAATAAAGGAAAACATGTGTGGTGTGGTGTGCACCCTCGTGGTAAGCCATGAGGTGTAGAGAACTCACCTATAAATAGGTGAGTTCGAACTGAATGAAAACACGGAGAGAAAGGAGAGATAGTGTAGCAAAGAAGAAATAATATTAAGGTGAGTTTTATTATATATTGAATTATCATAAATTATTTTATGTAAATTATCTTTTATAAATTATATTAGTTTTTAAGTATGTAATTTGTTAAATGAACCCTATTTGTTTAAAAAGGAAAATCCAAAGATATAACTATTTATTAAATGTGTTTTGGATAATTATTTTGTAAGTACCATCACGGAGGTCCCATGTCTTGGGGTACTTAAATAACCATCGGCCCTCTGAATTGTCACTTTATGTGACCATCTGTTATGTTTTGTTTTGTTATCACTTTAAATGATCCTCTGTTGTCATGGATCCACTAACCCTCTGATTTCTGGTGTGGAGCAAAGTGTTTTGCAGAGCTAAGCGCTACACTATTGTGAGAGCCACCTCTAGAATTTGTATGAGCCACCTCTTGAGTCCATACATCTGCTATTGTAGACACCATATTTTTAATTGTCCTCAAGACTTGGACGTCATTGTTTGTACACTTGATGATTATCCAGGTTTGTGTTTGTTTTGAGCGCCCGAAGTCTTCGGTGGAACGCCTTGTCTTTGAGCCTTTAAACCTATCTGTTTTGTGCATGTTTTTGGACCAAGAGCTTGTTGCCTCTTGCCTGGAGAGAAGGGTGACCTGTTGACCAGCCCTGGGACTTGTCGGCCATAGGTTGTGCCAGTCGGCCACCACTGATGGCCGACGGCCACCAGTGGTGGTCGACGACCATTGGTCTCCTTTTTAAGATATTCGTTTGCCAGCTGTGCCAGCTGTTGCTCACTGAGCTGCATCTTTATACACGTGTATGATAGGATATATACAAGCTCAAACCTTGATTTTCTATATATAGGGGGTGTCCTCCCCTATTTTGGAGGGTTAGACATTTTAGACCAAAAATCTCTCTCTCTCTCTAGAATTTTCTCTCTCTCTTCTTGTTTTGTGCCTTAAAGTCTAGTTTCTCTACACTTTTGCACATCAACCCTTGATCAAACTTGACCACAATTGAGCTGAGGTCCCTTGGAGTTGTGCTTGAGCTTTGGAAGGGGTTTTGAGCTTGAATTTGTGGCTGAGTTGTGCTTTGCTTCAAAAGTAAAGAACTTACCTCATTTAAGCTTATTGTGCATACTTGTTTTGCCATCTTTTTCTACTATTTTAAGGTTGTTTTT